TATCAATTTTCTACATTATTGAAGTTTTTAAAATAATTAATTATTTTGTGAATACAATAAAAACTTTAATTGTATTCACAAAAAAATAAATGATTTTACATCAATATCCAAAATCTAATAAAATACTCTAATTTTGGTTTCAAGTGACCACAAAACCGAATACGTTACTGTGCTTAACGTGATCACATTCTCTACATCAAAATTAAATGTTTGTATATATATCAAAGATTTTTTACAAAACTGGTTGCCCCGAATTGATGAAATTGAATAAATTCCGATCTTCAGGATACGATAGATGCTACACGACTCGTGCGAGGGGAAGGACCTTTTCTTAGAATCAAATATTTGGGCAAGTTACGTGAGCGGTCGCACCCGGTGTGGGTGCGAGAGGGTGTGGGGCGGGAGAGGTTTGTTATGGCGGCGGCAGGAAGCGCTCGGTGGCACGACTGGCACGTGTAAGAGCGGCCTTGAGACGGCAGGTCGTCGAACGCGACGCGCCGCCGCCGGCAGACACAGCCGACTGTCGCCTGCTGCCCACCGCGACACCATGGCCTTTGTCGCAATGCCTTGTGCTACCCTATTACCGACACCTATTGTTTATAGTCTCCCTACAGGCCCTTCTCTCTCTGCTCTGAGAACAATTTCGAACGTAAACTATTAGGTTACGAGTCACGGGTAGCAAGCATTTTACGAACAGGTCAACTTCATTGCACTACACTGTTGCTATTCGTAGAAATAGTGAATAATGCATTCTGAATAAAATTTGAATTCAAATATAAATGCGAATCAGGTTTACATTTTTTGTACCTAAGTCTAAGTTCGAGCCCGACTGCCGACACGAGTAAAAAATTAAAATATATACATATATATAAACCCAACCTGAATTAGGTAGCCACATTAAATGTAAACAAGTATCGAAATGACGTCATAACATAATAGAATTATCTTTATGTAAATTTTAAATCTGTGACTTGTGATTCTAACGTACCTAAACAGTGACAGTATTCTATTTTATTTAATGATATAAAATAATATACGTTTTTCGGAAATTGTCTCCTCTTTTGGAAGCTCAAACGTCAATTAATAGTTACCCAATTAAGTTTTACCCACTTTTGAAAATATGTAAATATGTACATAGTCAAAGCTGTTAAATAGTATTCTGAATATTGCCGCGAAAAGAGATATTATAATGCTTACCCTCTTTGCCTAAGTACTATCTACAGATTTTTAGCTAACTTTGCATACACTTCTGCATCGCTCTATGGTTGAACCGGAAAGAATGTCCGTGACATTAAATCTGCCTATAGGTTTTGTTTTGTGCATAAAATTTAAAGGAGAACGCAGAATTTGTAGACTGACTTCTATCCTTTTCAGCATTTTAGTAATGAAATGAACGGGTGTCGGAGCAATGATAACTTTACGTTATCGGAGTGATAAAACAGCACAATCGGTGTGAGAGGGACGGAATGAGGGAAGAAGTGGGTCGCGGGACCGTCGTTCGAACCCGCTCTCCAACAACCACCTACCCCTAAGCCTCAATTCCCCATTTAAAACGAGACACTCAATATTACGTTATAAAGAAAAAAATTGGACAGTTTCACATTTGTTTTGAACGTTGCTACTGTCAGTTCATACTTAAACACACAACTTCTAAATAATTAATTCCTCACAAACCTTGTACGTTGATAAATACTCAGGCACAAAGACGTTCATGTGCGACGTAAGAAGATCGTGACAAAATCAATTTGCATGAGCAGGTCACCATTAATATGATAGGTACGTGGTTTTCTTAATGGTCACTCAATGCATCTTTCATATAGGCTCTGACATCCTCCTTCCGACACGGGCCCCTATTTTGCGTTAGTAAAATATTTAATTAATTTTTTTTCTTAATTTGCCGCTTGGTTTAAATTTAACTATTAATAAAAATGAACATTTATTTTTATGTTTATCCTCTGTACGTTCCTAAACTTTTCATCAGATTGTGATCAAAGTCGTGACAGTTGTTGTTGTTATGTACTTCCATTAATATCATACGTTGAATGTCGTATGTATGTAGGTGCAACTTCAACAAATAGCTGTATTTCACGCATATACCGATAGTTAAAGCGGGGTGGTCACCGTCCTCGGCGAAATCCTCGACCACGACGAAAAGTTCCACCATCGACACAGCCCACGGAGTCTCTAGCCAGATCTTCTAGGAAGGTCGCGATTCCGATCCGGTGGTAGATTCTGCGAAACACTGCTCTTGGTAGAGCTAATGTAAAGTAGTAACTATCATATTTGTTGGTTCGTAACGCACTCCTGTAAAGGTATTTGGCTAAAACGCTCGTGAGATCTGGTTTGCTGGGTAGCTATCATTCAAATCGAATCTTCAACTTCATTTGTCATACTGAAGGGTAGTTAATATGTTGAAGTATCTACTCATTTGCCTACAGGCCTTTTTGTTTGTCATGTATTCGTGAAAAATAAACAAATTATTTCAATGCCACATAACATTTATATATATATAAATTACGATATTTACATTAGGTAAATTAATAGCATTCGTTAATCATCTTTGTATGTGATCATATTATGTTTTGTGCAATCGACATTTTATTTTAATCATATCAATTACAGCAACTAGAACGTTCACACCAACAAATCACAATTACTCCGAATCACTTAGACAGCATTCCGTTGATTCTCTGGAAAGGTAACGACACCGAAGCTGTTTTCAAACTGAAACGGCAAACATTTATCTTATTCTTGGAACGATTAGCTCACAGGAGGTATAACTCTTATGTATTTTCACTTATAATTTTTTTATTTGTGCTTAATTTCTGACAATCTCAGGGTGATAAGTGGTAATCGGAGCCTATAGATAGCATAACGTTCATTTCGTGAATTCTGTATGATGCAATAGCTTAACTTTTTAATTTGAGAATGCTTCCTACTCATTTAAGAACTTCGTTTTGTTAAGTTGGCAAACACAATTTGATTGTTTTTGCATAGCTTATTTACGTGTGTGACATTTTGGCGATTTAGATTTTTTTTCCAATACAAGACTGCTTCGTCCCAGATGTAGGTAGGATGCTCGTAACCACCATGCGAGCTAACTTTATACCTATTACCAGTCACTAGAATGCGATGTGATGATGTATTAATATCGAAATATTCTTCATAGCAGTAAGTAGGTACCTATTATGATAACCATTAGAACATTGAATTTTAAAGAATGTTAAAAACATTCGTAAATCCCTGGTGGTATTCGAAAAAATATAATAATCTATAATTTTAAAATGTACTCCTCAACGTAATGAAGACAAGAAAAAATATACAAAAGTACGGGTAAACCATAATATCCGGGTCAATTGGAATATATGGCGTGACGAAAATTTGCAACAAGCGAATTCTAAGTTGAAGGATTATTGGTGGTATGGCATACTGCAAGCCAGCAGTATAACATACCAATATGCAGCTTATTTCGACCGTTGCTTCTGAGTAAGTCACGCGTTCCGTTTCGAAGGGTTGTACTGCTATTATTATTATTCTTCTTCTTCTTCTTCTTCTTCTTCTTGTCCTTATTCCACATATAGTGAAGTTTTCTGCCGTGAAGCAGTAATGCGTTTCGGTTTGAAGAGTGGGGCAGCCGTCATAAAACTATACTTGAGAACTTAGAACTTATATCTCAAGGTGGGTGGCGCATTTACGTTGTGGATGTCTATGGGCTCCAGTAACCACTTAACACCAGGTGGGTTGTGAGCTCGTGCACCCATTTAAGCAATAAAAATAATAAATAAATAAAAAATATAGTGCAGTGTCACATGACGACAAATTAATAATGTCACTTTGACATATCTTTTTGACATTAATTTTTATACAGCTACTACTTAAAACAGTTCATTCTTCGACCGGAGACAACATTCTTCCACATTACGGTATATATGTATGCCTGCAGCGGGCCGCAAACTTGGCTACCGATCCAAAGTAATAAAAAAGAAATCAATCGCTTCCAAAAAACGCTATTGTAATTTCATCGTATGTGGTGATTTTTCGATTGTAGTATCATAATGACTGGTTTTTCTTTCTGTTCTGGTCGAGTAGTTTTTTATATGGACCTACCAAGTCAAATCGGCAGTTGGCGGTTGTTTACATGATTGTACCAAGCTCACTAAACACCGGGAGATGTGGTGACTGCTCATGAGGCCCACAGCAATGATACTGAATGACAGCCACGACCACTCGGACAAGAGTGATACGGCAAAGGAGACGGTTCTACTATCATATCCCTGAGTGACATTTCACGACACTCAACCGTAGACTGGTAAATCAGAATCAAGATTAGCTGAAGGTTTCAATTAATGTAGAAGAAGTAGATAGTGAGAATAAGGCATTAGTAGTTGTTCAGGTTTGCCAAATAAATAAACATATGTACATTATCTATACTGATAGCTAGCGAGTCAGACCATTATCATGTAAGATGCTCTGATGATTGTGGATTTCATATCGTAAAAATTGTCCTGCTATCAAATTTTATTGTCACACTTGTGTCTTTGCATGCTTGATGCATGCATATGTATATGATAATTACATTATAAACTACAAAATATTCAATGGAACACGAATAAGAATGTTTTTCAACATGTGATTAAATAAAAATCATAGTAGTATAATGAAATGAAATGCATGTTTTTTTTAATTTCTAAAACTTAACTTAAAACTAAAGCAACCTTTGATTTTGAAGCGAATGACAGTTAATCAAACGTTCGATTCTAATTAAAAAACAAAATTAACTTTCGGCATACCAGCCTATTTAGCAATTGCCATGTAAATAACTGAATTCAAATTTCGAGGCGAATTGAAATTAGAACACTTTTTAATAAAACTAAACATATCAATTTTTTTTTTTTAAATTATAAACGGGTAAATAATAATATGAAATGAATGAGTGTTCGTGTTTGATGTAAAGACATTTTTGCCACATAATATGTATAATAATGATCGAATATCAACAGTTATAGTGGCAGCGTGGACAGTGACGTGTGCCAGCGACTTGCACCGCCGCAGCAGCGCGTCTCGGGTGCCAGAAATAAACCGCAAAACACGACGAAAACAATCGAGACCGCGCTTGCCCCTTCGCGCGCGCGCAAAAATGACGGGAAATATGCACACGCGTCGAGGTAACCGACTCGGTACGCACAGTGAAAGTCTTAACTGTTTCACTACAAGAAAACAAATCGCACGCTTGTTTTCAACACTTTACCGCGTAATCATTGCACTCACGTACTGCTGATGTATTAAGCATTATTAATAAACCTTTACTTTACTTTTCGCCTGTGAAGTGGCCACTCAGTGTATCCTTTTTATTTGCGTGTATAAACAGGCTCTTATTCGATCTGGTGTTTGATAGTTACCAGAGCCCTTGAAATATGAAGTTGAAGTTTAAATTGTATTATATAGTGGCTATCCGGCCCTCAATACCGAAATCCATGACTGCTGTGTGTCAAAAAATACAAGATGGTGGCAGCAAAGTTATGGGTAGCACCAACTCGTGTAGACCAACAATACGCCCTGCGACCAATATTTTAAGTACGTGTTTCCTTAGAAAAAAAATTGCCTGCCTATAAGATTTGTTACTTGCATAGTCTCATTCCTTGATACCGAGCGGTCTTATCTTTTAGACAAGGAACTCAACAACTATACGCAAAATCTATTTGATATTACTATTTGTATATAGATGAATTCAATAACTTTAATTCATGACATTATAAAAACGCATTTTTTTTCCGCTGATTATCTATAAGAACGTAGTGAAATCGAACCGTTTTTGAAAATTGTGATTTTTAAGCATTAATCATGGACAATATATTAAGTATCTACGACAAGAATGTGCGTCGAAAAAAGCATGGTCAAAAGGTAACTAAGCTCCACAGACCCTAACGAAACCCGAATGAACTCGCAATAAGGTTGCATTGGATAGCGATGGTTCATTATGAACTTATAACACGGAAGAAAACCATTGATTCGGATCTCTACAGATACATCAAGACAGGACTGTCAAAATTACTTGTCGCAGCTTTTGCCCAAGTTCCAAAATTTCTACAGCGATGGTATTATGTCTACACCAACAAAATAGCAACAAGCTATCGAACAAAATGGTACCTATATACTTTAGTTAAATGTAAAAATAAACGAGGAAAAATCAATCTTTAGTTGGTATATATATTCCTCTGACCAATCCCCTGATCTATATACACATATTGTATACAAAAAAGTAAGTCAAAATATAACTTGTATTTTTATAACTGCCCGGCTACTAAACATCAGTGTTTTGAACACTTTAAATAGCCTCGACCTACTTCCTTTTAATTTGAAACAAGATATTATAAATAATGTTTGAACCGGATGTCGGATCTTGGATCGACTTTATTCAGATCGAAATTATTGACAGTACGACACCGTAATTTTAAGTCCCTAATGCATACCCAAATGAATTAGTCAGTGAGGCAAATTAACAGATATTAAAACCTGGTCAGTTTTCACAGCAACTAAATAAAAACATTACTATATTAAGAACTGGCGACAGTTCACGACAAACACGGTCATCTAACCCGAAAAATAAGATTCCCTGTAATAAGATGATACTACTCTATAATTCTGTGATATAACTATGTTAAGACTGATAAATATACTTATATATATTTAAATCTATATTAAACACTCAGATCAAAGAAAAACAAACGTGTTCATGACACACGTGTTTGCCTGACGCGGGAAACGAACACACGACTCTCGGCCCAGCTGTCATGTGGGCTAAGGGTTAACTACTACAGCACCATGTGAGTCAAGTGAGACACCTGTGAGATTGGGATGAACAAAAGCCTTCCGAATATGAAATTCGCAAGTTAAATTGAATTTTGTTTTTAATAGAAACGAGATATCGTTATGTCGTAACCTGATTTTTGGTGTTACTGCATCATGCAGACAACGTTGACACATCGAAGTATCCGTCCTATCTACATTAACGAAAAATGCAAATGAATTATATCATAATATATACTGTGCATCATCACATCGTTGATTTGAGTGGTAAGCACCGTCATCAGTAACTTTTTTTTTCTAAAATTGTTTGTCTTGTACAGTGTTTAACGCTGTTGTTATTTGATGCTCTTTTATTTGAATTGTGGGATTCCCCGAAATTGCACGCAGCGTTGGGCTTCCCGATATCCGGAGCAGTGTATGTTTTCGTCTTTCCGCAATAGTTTAAAGGATAGCTGTTGAATTATATATGTAATTTTGACTTAGAACTAATGTCTCAAGGTGAGTGGCGGTATTGTTTATGAGCGCCAGTTAACGCTAAGTATGGGGTTAGCTCTATGGGAAAAAAGGTACACAATCAATCAATCAATCCATTCATTACAGTATTTCATTTATTAATGATTGATAATATAATTTTGGGAAGCTTAAGCGACAAAGGGAAGATCTTCCACCGAGCGGGTGATATTTTCTCGGTAGACCGACGGTCCGAATCTTGCTGTTCGGAACTTTTATATATGTAAGCTTATCTTGAAAATGTCGTAAGCGAGACTCAGGCATCTGTCAAATATCTTGCGTTGTATGATGGCTACCCGCCACTATAATACATGTAATAATTATTAATTTTTACGTTCTGTTCATAGATTTGATCTACTATGTAGTAAACATGATAACTAAGCCTTTTATAAAGTGCTAAGTGCAGTTGCGTGAAGAATTAACAACAATGTTGTTCAGAAACATGTTTTGTTCGAACGCCGAAGATAGAAATAACCGGATATTTATCGCTCGGACCGCGACATCCTTGTACTGGTTTTGTGGTCATATGTCCTCTTCATATACAATTTGCATACAATTCTTGGAATGCAAGTTTCTTATCTAAAATCAATGAATGGTATTCGAATGTAACGGTTCAAACAAATAGAAGCGGTTTAATTGTGAACCGTAATCATTCTTAACCTGCATTATTAACCTGAATATATCTCAATTACAAAACAAATAAAAATCCTTTCGTTTTGTCACCGTAGTGTCATAGAAAGAGAGCAGTAGCGTCCTTGTAATAATCAAGAGGTAAAATAAGACTTGATATATAGTCACAAAAAGAGAAACAGAGAAATCACATGAAAAAAGTTTGTTTTGTCGACGTATTTGCTTATTTAAGCAGACCGGCACACAATTCAGTCGTTGTAAGCGAATATTTTTTATAAAATCGATACCTTAAGCAAAAACATGCATTTGAGAAATCAAAACATAGAATAGTCAATACACAGGGTGTATCAAATTTTCCCTCAAGCGAATTCTGGTGGATATAAAAGAAACCATTCGAAAGCTTATATTTTACTAGTAACTTATCATAATTTACGAAACGTGGACTTGACTTACAGTAATTTTTTTATTGTATCCCCAAACATCTGCTGTATCTCCTGGGCAGTCTGATGGACCGACTTAGCGCAGAGACCAGCGTCGTTGGTCGTAGACGATCGCCTCGACAACCCATCGGTCGAGCATCGTTGGGGTCGCACTGCGAGCTTAGGTGTAGTGTTGACCTCGGGAACCCGGCCTGGGTTCTGACCCCGGACGGAGATCGGATGTCGGGTGAGAGAGTGCAAGAGGAGTCGTTTGGTGGGTAGGGTCTTATTCTTTGGCCCACGGTCTGCTCTGTGTTACTGCAGACCTTCAAGTCCCACAAACCCCCGTGCCATCTAGGCACGGACAACTCGTATGAAGTTCGGCCCACAGTCCGGAAAAAAAATATCGTTAGAATAAGGAAAAAAAAGATTGTACATATAATTTAAAATACTTTTACATTTAAATACTAAGCTAAGTACCTAAAAATACTGACAATTACGTTACTTTTCACACAGCAAAAAAGTTAACAGTATCTTATGGTATGGCAGTTTGCTTTAAACATTTACAATACTTCAGTTTCGGTGCCATTTTAAACAATCGTTGATTTCATATAAAACTTTTTCTCGGGGTAATAAAGCCAAAGTGGTCTCTGTTCGATGCTTTTTTTTTTTTTTTTTTTTT